ACCAGTGTCTGCCACCTGGACCACTTCTTAATAAAGCTCTTTGGCTGTCTCGAGTCAAGGTGTGAGTTGTTAAGCTAAGTCTGCCTAAAAGCCTTGAGCTTTGTGCGTGAGTTTATTACTTACGTTCAAAGGTTTCTTGTGTGCCATGTGGTCGTTTGTCCACCACCGTTTCTGTCCGCGTAAGGCTAAGGGAAGAGCCTATACGATACCAGCCTTGATTATGTAGCCTAGACATTTCAGTTTACAGTTCAACTTGGATATATCCTTTATCTCCGTGATAACTAATAGATTGGCTGTTAATATTGATTCAAGAATTATAATTAATTTTATACTGTCTGAAAATAGCTCGTTTCGATACTGAAATGGTACAGGAATTAAACAAGTCAAGAGAGTTATAAGGCATAGTTTAAGAAATAAAAGATAATACAAGTAATAATAGTAATAGACAGATCTACTATATAATAATTATGTACTACTGTTAATAATAATACTATCAATAATTTATAAACGTAAGAACACTTACTGAGAGCACTATGAAGTAAACCGTGAAGGAAAAAGGAGACCTTGATTATTTCTTGAGGTCTTCAAAATTGTCATTTAACACTACTGTTAAAAAAAGGCTTAATATAAAAATACCTATCCTTAAATAAATTGACAAGCTTAAAGACGAATAGTAAAATACTTCAAATCATAATATTATGAGTCTATTTGATACCAAGCCTTCTCGATGACTATCTACAGTCAACCATCCATACGTACAAAACATACATGTTTTTGATCCTATGTATGTTTGAATGTATGTATGTATAAGTTGACATTCCGTTACACCCTGCTGACCCACAGTAAACTAAACAGTCCGCGAGTTCGACAGGCCTGGTCGACGGTAAACATTTTGAAAAACTATTGGTGTTGTCAAAAAATGTGTGAATTGATTTGTTCACGAATGTTTAGAGTTTGAATAAGAAATTGTATATTTCGATTTGTAAAAGTTCTGGTTTCGCGGTTTTTTGGGATTGAATAGCTAACTACTATTAACCGTTGTACTCAGAGTCGTGTAATCGTTACTTCATACAACCCTCTGCGATTGTTTTGCGAACAAAATCGTTGCGAAGAAAATATATAAGTAGATTAAGTATAGAATCATTACATAATCTACTTAAATACTTTCTTCATTCATTGTAGGGCAGTCAGATTTTTGGTTCTGATAGTTTGAGTAACAATAAGTTAGTAAAGAAGCTTCTAAAAAGATATTTTTTTAATGTCTGATGAAATGTTAACGTCATTAATTTTGTGGAAATAAACCAGTAAGTATAGCAAATATTCTAGGATTTATTTTAGGTATATCATTAGATCTGGCCATGGGGGTTCCATTCTCTAAGAAAATTTATAAAAAAAGTATCCCGGTGATTTAAAAGATCAGTTATTTTCTATTCTATCATATTTATGATTTTATGACTATTACGTAGAATTAATTGCTTTTGAGTGGAGGAAAAATCCTCAAATGACTTCTCCCGCCCCGGGTGGCGCGAGAGAGAGTGTCGGACACTCACTAACTAAAATCCACCACATCCGTTCTGCTGCTTCCTGCAAACTCGAATGGAGATAAGTTTAGTCTAAAATAATGAATAGGATATTTTCTAAACACAATAAGAAAGTTAATTAAAAAATTAAATATAGGTAAAAACTTTCCTAAAATACATCAAAATATACCTACCAGAAAATCTCTTGCAGAAACTACATACCTACATACATAAATGAAAACATATATGTAAATCAAAATCACAGTATTTGTTTACCACTAAATAATACGTTTCCAAGTATTAAAGCTTGGCCTAATACAGTACTGTACGAAACTATTATAAACGTTTAGATGTTTCTATTCTAGGTAGGTACTAGTTATTTGTAGTCCAAACTAATATTATAAATTGGAAAGTAACTCTATCTGTCTGTCTGTTTGTCTTGCCTTCACGCCTAAACTACTAAACCTATTTGTAACAGAAATTTGGTACAGACATACCTAGTTTGGGACTCGAGAAAGGACATAGGATAGTTTTTAAACCAACCGATATGCAGAAGACACTATTACACGCGAACAAAGTCGCGGGCAAAAGCTAGTAGTTAAATAATTTTAGCCACAAAACTCTTCTGTCTATATTTTGGTGTCTTTACCTCTATTAAAAAGTTTCGTTGCAGACTGAAACTGGTGTAGACAGTACATCCAATCGGGGGCGATGATCGATTCTATTCGATGATCGATCGATGCTCGATGATCAGGATGTAACGACTCAAGAGAGAGCTTAGTTACAATGAGTTTTCCAATTCTAGATGGTGTATTTTTTTTGGGCTGACTAAAGTCTTCTTCTATATGAGTGTCATGTTTGAAGAGCTCCAGTTTATCAGAGGGTGTTGCTGTCAGATGTCTGTATAATTTGTGGTCACTTACCGTCTTAAAAGCAATTACTTCTGGCAGTGCTTTGTTTCCTAACTTTACTAGATTACAACATTGTATAGAAAATACTACTTTATTGTTATTAATCATGAGCGGTCCGTCCTTGCTTTACACGAGTATCCAACTGTTTTCTTTTCCTGGTAGCTATTTCCCGATTGTGTTCCTTACTTTTCTAAAATTTACATTCGTAGTTTCTTCGGAAAAAAATGCAGGTGTGCAGGCGTTGTTGAATTATGCGCTTACTTACTTATTTTTATGTTTATATAATACTAGCTATTCTCACGCGGTTTCACCCGCTGCCTCTGCTCGCCTATAGCACTCAGGAACGTTGTAGCAATCTATCAGCGAAAGAATTTTGGCAATCCGACCAGCGGTGCCAAAGATTACTCCCTACCTACAAACATACAAACTTACAAATTTTACCTCTTTATAATATTAGTATAGATGTATAGATTATTGAAATGTACAATGTCCATAAATATGTATAAATTATATATGTATTCCATTATTTATACACGTTATACTTACTCTTACAGTTTAAACAACTAAATAAATTTTCCTCGACGTACTTGGAACCGGACATTTTGTGTTACAAACACGAAATTCTAGTACTTACTAGAAGTTGATCTAATTAATCTAGTTCAAGTTTGGCTCGTAAATTGTGCGATTATAAGCGTGGTTGCTAAGCAATGCCCGAGTTAAGAAAATATTACAAAATCTTAAGTTTCAAAAAAATTAAATTCTCTTCTAAAAATTATCTTGTCTTTTAGTTACTTTTTTCGCCATTACAAACGCAGTATCATTTCTATTCGGTTTTAGCAATAGGCTGGCAACATTCTTCCGTGCTCCCGCAACATTCTTCTATGCTGTATTAATCTATTTTCTGGAAATCAGCACCACCCAAGAAGTTTACAATATCGTTATCAGCCATTTGAGTTTGCTTATGGATGTAGATTGGGATTTCGGTGATTACTGATGGGAGAGGAAGGATTGGGCCTCCGCTAGCCTCATTGACAAAGTTATTCTAATTGAGCCAGCTTTTGTGTCGAAGCATGGCTCTCCTACATTATTTATAGGTATCAAGAAAATAGATTAGTTACTCTTATTCATTTTATTGATTTTTATTCTTCTTGGGTATCTTCGAACTAGTCAGCATAATATGTCTACTTCTTTTATTATCATTCAATCACAACCTCTTTTCTCTTTCACTCCATTCAATACAATCTATCCATCTCTCTTTTAAATCATCCTCTTTCTTTCCATCCTTCGAAATTCAAATTTAGTATTCACCGCCTTACGTGATTTTCATCCCTTCTCATTAAATTTTCTACTAGCTTCTAAGTGATCTAATAAAATGGATTTGTGAGCAATACACGAGCATAATTACTTGCCCACCTTAGTGCGAAGCCGCTTGCAGATAATCGGTACTATGTCACCTCCACACACCGTGTTATTCCCATAAGATATCGGATCATCATATCTTGTGTTCGGAATTTAGTTTGCGGTTGTAATTATACGGAAAATATTAACTTAATGTTAGGTTATCCTGGATCCGCTTCAGGCGTTTGTTAAGGAGTATTGTGGTACATGAGTGAAATTAAATTTGGTAAAAAGTTTGTATTATTTACTTAAAAACTGTCAGAATGACGTTATTGACTGAGTTTTACAGTTTGCACAATATCTAAGGACATCTATTCGTCTCGACTTCAAATATTAAGTACTAAATCTAGCAAAATCATAGAACACAATTCAAATTGGTAAAATTCCAATTGCAGAAAAGAATCAACAGTAAAAAAAACAAAATTCGAAAAAAGAACTCGCTAACCCTAAAGCAACAAACAAACCGTTTCGTTCTTTCAACGCCATAATAATCCGTCCTTCAATTGACTCGCGATACCCAAACAGCTGATACACTTTTTCTTCTTCCTACTCAGTATACAATGTAAATACCACTGTGTTGCTCACATTCTAAGGTCGATATTCGTATAAACACATGGGTCCCGGACGAAAGAGGGAACAAAGGAGACGGGACCACGTATCTTGACCTATTTGTGTCGTGCGATTGGTGTAGGTCGTGTTTACTATGTCTGGAAAGAGTTTTTAGAAGGTTAGGAGCTTTTGAGGTTGTATATTTTGTCTGTGGATTTCTTTTTTTATTTTATGGTGTAGGTAAGTAGTGTTGAAGTTTAGTAGATGGTTAGTTTTATTAAGAAAAATATATGTTTTGGGTATAAATTGGGGAAAATTAAGTAAAATAGAGTTTTAAGTGATAGATCATTTCAAGATAGATTTAAGCATTTTTGTTTACTTACCTTTAGGAAAAGTAAAAGCATAAATAACATCTAAACTCTACGAACAAACAAGACTTGCACATTATATCATAACGCTCTTTATAAAATTCCACATCCTTGAATTTGAATTTTATATTAACCCAGATGAAAATAAATTTCGTTTGTGAAAAATCTTTAAAAAAAATAAAAAAAACATAACTACCAGTAGCATGACGTAAAAAAAACACGAATTATAAAATAATTTTTCTTATTTTTCACAGACGAGTCGGGATGCGAGGCTGATATGCTGGAGGGCGCGGAGGTGGGACGGCACTCGCCGCCCCGGCCGCAGCAAGAGCCCATCAACCTCAAGAATGAGGTGAGTACTACTACATCACACGCTTACTTACATACTGAGCTTAAAACTGAAACGTCTTAGTTTTAAAGAAGTTATTAAAATATAAATGAAAAGCATTTATTTCAATTAATAAACAAAACTTTTCGAGGCACAGTATCAAGAGTTCAAGATAATAGGTGCGCGAACGTCGGCGTTTTGTTGGGGTTTGATGAATTTATACTTAAACATACGCTTTTGAAATGGCTCCTCAGTCGAATTATTTGTCAGTCAATAGGGCAGTGAAACTAAGTAGTCGTTTCAAAATATGAATTTAAATGGAAAAGAACGAGACAGACAGTCTATGGTCAGTTTTTTTATAAAGTTTTTGGCTGGGTTTGGTAATTTTGTAAAGGGATAGATCATAATATAAGTAAGAGTTGATAGCGCATGGAAAAAAATAAATCAAAAAATAAGTTAAAACCATAATTGATTTGGGATTTAAAATAAAACAAAAATTGCAATTAAGAAAATTATATTCGTCTTGACAGAAAATGCAAATAGTAAAGTTTTTTTATTCAATTACTAACTTTATTTTTTATTCCTTTTTAAAAATAATCTTTATAATTTAAAATTGGAACACAATGAATTGAAAGTTTGGAGAAATGTATTGCACCTTAAGGCAAGAATAAAATAGTATCGCTTTTATAAAATTCGTATTAAGTATTTATGATAACTATTTATATGATAGGACATAGAATTTTCTCGAAAAAGTCCCCTCCGTAGTTAGTAGCAGCCCCGTTCGCAGTTGCCCCAACACTGGGTTAGTGGGACAAATTGTCAATGTGCAACGTTTATTTTAAAGAATATATTTATAAAGAAAACAAATCCTTTTCATCTTATAAAGTAATTATAATAATACTTAATTTAGTCTTTCAATTAATTCAAGTATGTGTTGAGAATATAGGATGGTATTCAATGAAGAATTTGTAGGTTAGTTTAGGGAATGATGTTTGGATGGATTGGATGTTTATGATATTTTCTTCATCATAACTTTTTTGTCAATTATGGTTGACATAAATTCCAAAATGATAAGCTAATTATTGTCACCCCAACACTTCCAAGTTCCACTCTGGTGTACTATTCAAAAAACAAAGCTGTCAAGCTGGCCGCTGCTACTTAACTAACACGTGGCCTTTAAATTGAAAACGCGGACAAAGTTGAGTGCGAATAAACGCGCTCGATCCTCAAGTGGCCGCTCGGTTCGCCAAAAAGACGACGACATCCCCTGGCTCAAAAGGTCCTCGCAAAGACTAAACATTCGTCGCTTCGTTAGTGCCCCGCGAAAAAATCGCCATGCGATTCGACGCCGACCAATCTGCTCCGCACTGCCGCAACCTACTTGCCTCAGAATCTATAGTATCGATTAGTGAGCGCTTTTTTACCCACACGCACTCACACACCGCCGCGGCGGGGCCAGCCTTTTTAACAATCTTTTTTTCGTCCACCCCTCTCCCCCAAAACCGCCATGTCCATTGCGCGGATGCAAAGACCACCCCTCTCGCCCCACCCCTCATATAGCAGCATTGAAAATGGAATTTCCATGAGTGATGGAGTGTCAAACGGGAAGTGAAAAAACGGAGAAAAAGTACATTATGTTAATTATTGAACGCGTGCTCCGTCCGAGTTTAAATTGAATGTCATGTCGTACGCGTCCGTCGCGTCGTCGTGTCGTGGAAACGCACGGTTTTACTCTCCTATTCCGTTTCGTGTGTACGGTATAATTTTTAATTTTTATGCTCTGTTCGTGCTAAATTAATAATCGCACATGTCGAAATTCAGACAACCCGTATATTTTGTATGTAGCGAATTTTGCACAAAACTCGATTGGCAACTTTTGGCTCGAACACGTGGACTTAGCGGAACCATATTATTAGGTTTTAATCAAAACTCAACTTTATTTACGCGCTTTTAAAGCTGTTAATGCTAGTTCTGCAGTCGAGCTAAACGCCGGTAGCTAGAATGACTTTTATTTTCATTCACTAAGTACGGGAAGACAATGTGTACACTAGTAATCTTTTCCACTAACTCTGTCTACACTTTAGTTCTTGTTTACTTCGCATGAGTTCTCCGAACTTGGAAATCATGAATGAAGTATGGCATTTCTTGAGATCTTAGATGTTTCTTATTCTTATACTTATTAGATCTGAGAGATTTTAGCTACTGTTTTTCTACAAGTTCTGAGTAGCTTGGAGATATCTTCTAAGCTGCTATACTAGTCTTGTCATATTAAGCTAGAATTACATTAAAACTAATGTTTGTTATGAAACAATAACACACGGAACGCTTGCTCTGTTTAACTTTTAATGAAATCTACTATCTAAGCGAGCATTGCACAAAAAGACCGGACAAAGCACTTATTCACCGGACAACACGAACTATTCGGACAGTCGCATTGCTAATGGAAAATCCCGAAAAAATATTGGCGGTGAAAAAAATAGTTTAAAAAATCGTCGAGCACATTTGAATGAAAATTGGGTGGTGAAGGGGTGGCGCGCGCGGCCGCCGATCGCCTATTATTATTATTATTACTTGCATTATATCTGCATTTTTTTCACGCACACAGACGCGGCCGCGCACGCCATTTTTATTTTTTTCTTCCTTTTTTCTTTTTTTCGGGAAATCGACGGGGGCGCGGCGCCCCCACACATGGGCCGCGCTCGCAGCTCGTGCTCACCAGAATCGAACTATGCGATGTCTACAAGTGGACGAACATTTAAATTGGCTCTCATCAAATATTGACTGCGTGTAGTTTTTTCATTAACCATTCGGCTTTTTGTGAGGTACGCTGGCGGCCACGTCGGTAGCCGTTCAATTTGTATCTACTTCCTTTGAGCAGGTACGAGAGTGCACCATAAGTTGTTTTTTAGTGTCAATTAATATTTTTCAAGTGCTTCAATCCGCTACAATCAGTTTTCTGTTAAAGTTTTTACTATATTTACTTGCATGATCAGCTTACGCGATTCGAACTTTTATTGCTTGAAACTACTAGCTACTTAATTCATGTTTAATGTGTCATTAGCTTTCAACTCAATATTCTTCAGTTTAAGAAACACGATACGGAAAATACACAAAATAGTTTACCGTATGCCCTAATCCCGATAGAATAAAAAAGCGGTAACATATTTTAAACTAGTAACAGTGGGTCGCCGTAATTAATCATTCGTATGATTTGATGGCACACGAATATCCCATACCATGTCAGTTTTATCAAAATGTTTTAATAAAATCGCAACAGGTAGGGGTGTGTTTGTTGAGAAAACATCAAGTGTTTGACTTTGGTCCTTCTTTGGTCCTTTTCGCCTAAGCAATTAGTTCGGTTTCTGTATTCACCATTTTGGTAAAGTCACCGATCTACATGTACATATAGGTATTTATACTTTACTCGTCTTCTTTAAATTGGTCCTTTCTTAAATATCTTTAATCTTTAACTCACTTTTATAAAAAACAAGGTTTAGAAAAAATCTCATTGATTAAACCTTCTTATTCATTCATATTTCCTGGGCTGATAGCCAAAAGTGACGTCACAAAAACTGGTCCTTCGGTCCTAAAAACGAACGCTCTTACGATTTTTAAAACCGTTTCATTTTCTTTTCCAAACCATTTTACGTTGACCTCTTGTTTCCACCGCCTGATTCGATTATTATATTAAGATGGTTTTGGAAATTAGTATATAAGCTACACCATGATTATTGGATAATTTTACGATAATCTTAAAATAACTTATGTAAAGATAAATGGTCAAGTATTCAATAAAGGAGAACGCAATCTTTATTTAATTTACAATCTATATGAAAATGAAGTTGATTCTGTGTTTAATAACGTCGCTATAACAATTAAAAAACCCACAATAAAAGAACCTCATCAATACTTAATAAAAATTATAATAAGACGCAAAATAATGTATGGAGCTCGTAGAACAACGGACGACACTGCAGTCAACCGAATTTATTATCATTAAAAAATGCAAAAAATCATAATTAAAGGGGTGGTGGTGGGGTGCATCCCATTTTTTATTTTAATTGGCTTGTAAATTACAAAAGTTATAGTGAAAACGCTGGGACCGTTTTTTCGGTATTATTATGCGGTTGGAAATTTTGTCGCTTATGAACGTATTATACTATGGTAATAAGTAGCTGCTGATTAAATAAGTTACGCCGCTCACAGTTTGGCAAGAAAATGCGTTTGAATTTGAGATTTGAGCTTAGTACTGTGGTTTATATATTATGTTTTATTTAGTTTAGACAATGTATGGAAAGTAAGATGCGACAGAAACTTATGATTAATACGTTAAGGTTACAACACTATTATTTGGCTAATCAGCTATTAAAGAAAGCGTAAAATAATATGTATTAAGTAACAGTTAAATGCCAATAAAGTCTGGCGTATAAAATGTTCCTACTTTACAGCACAAACTCTACAAACAGCGCTAGATTAAGCATCACTTCTCACGTCATAAAATAATATCCTACGCATAAACCCATCGGCTTCTCACCAAATGGTTATCCACAAACTTTGCAAAAATATCCAACGTCTATTGAAAACAAAACAAAACGTTAGCAACCAAGAAATAAAGTTCAAAATTGCATCGAAATTAATATTGACAGCGGTAAATACGGCGTAGCGCCTCCGAAGCTAGGGTTGCTACAAATATAAATCTCGGCGTCGCAGCCGCGGCCAGGGCTGCCCACGGAGGACGGACGTGATTGATCAAAGTCGTTTGTCAGGCTCGCGTCGCGACTGTTGGTAGCCCTGTGCAATTAGCACATGATTCTGGGCGTCTAATGCACGAATTTGGTTTTAATTATGGAATGGTGTTGCCATGGAATCTGTGCGTTCCATTATTTGGAATAGTATCGCTTGTGGTTGGAATCTGAACTATTATCTACGTGTTCAGATAATAAAATTATCTGAAAAATGCTCACATGTATCACTGAGTTCGTCCACATTTTCGTATGAAGGCATTCGCATTAATGTTAAAGTCA